TATATATATATAAACATTTGCATCAACAACATCATTAAATTATTATTAATTATTCAAGTTACTAAATAATAGATGTCGTTGGCATCATTTTTTACTTGTATCAAAGTCTTTACGTTGTCCCAAAGTTTCCATGGGCATGCACTTGCATAGCAAGCCACACATAATCATAAAACGCAATTCGACCAGGATACCGAAACCAGTGTCGCAGCCTTGCATATGATGGGATGCAAACCTAAAAGCGAACCACTGTCATTTATAGCACCATGACATGTATTCAATCTGATTAAAAGCAACCGTTAATGCCATGATGCATAAGATGAAGAGGCGCCCAGGCCCCAGATCTACCACGGTGATGCCCCACAAAAATATTTATAGTTACCACACGGAGGATTTATTATCCAGGTTTAGCACCATGACAGCATGCTCAACACAGACGAAGAGGGGTAACAGTTTTCATATGTCGAACTTCTCATAGCAAAGCTCTATCACGTTCTCCTCCTTGATACATTTGAATTCCAGAATTACCATTGCGATGGTGTGCTCATCCAATGAGGACCAGAATTGATTGTGCTAGCCCTCAGTCTTCAAAGAGCAATTGGAAAGACAAGGCAACTGATTTTGACATGTGTTCCATGCAAGGAGTCGCTAGCCCCAAAAGGAGCTCAGGAGTAAATGCTTGGCTCAATCACACTGCAGTGTTCCGTAGAATCCCTCTATCCCAACACATTGACGTTACATACTAAAGGAGTATGTTACCGAGCTTGACAAGAAGATGGACACTCTCTCCTGGAGTAGGTAGATTATCTATTGCGAGCTAGCTTGGCTGCATTGAGCTACAGCAGGATATGTTGGCTTAATCATTCCGTAGAATCCCACTATCCCAACACATAGGGGAGGGGACTTATGTTTGGATAAATTTTGGTATGTCAATGAGGGATAGGACACTTCCTTGATCATTGTGTTAGATGTGTTTTTACCCTTCACAAGCCAAATTTAGGAATCCCTATTCCCCGATGGCTCAATATCCACTTTTTGTGGCTCATGGGGTAAAAGTTATTCCGTGCGAATACCACATGCAGAGATGCATGCAGTGTCCGATCTCCATCGCCAATCACCGCTTCGGTGGGATTTAGGTGGGACTCACTTTCAATTTTTTTATTTTTTTAAATCCCACCGTAGCAGTGATCCACGGTGGAAATCGGGCACCGCATGTATCTCTGCATGTATTATCCCCATGGAATAATTTTTTCTTATCGGGACCCAAAAGCAGTGCTCAGTGGCATTTTTCAGTGGCATTTTCCATGTCAAAGCCATGGTGCCTAGTCTGACACGCCAACACCCTAACAGTTTTATGCTTTCACCATCTCTGATTAGATATACAACATTACAGGTGCTAACATGGCTTTAGTGATGTCGTCACAGCATCGTGGCCTCATGTCCAATGTTGTGGTGCCCAACATTCTTGGTCCCAATGATGGCTCATAATTGGATAGATACCACAATAGCAGTGCCTCAAAGTGTTATACTAAGCCATGACAACTCAATTTACTCAAGGTCAGGCTTTGAGTGATGCATCCTATCATATATGTTAACGTGGCATCTATCATGTCATCAATGCCCTAGTGCCAAGTCTAGTTCGACGACATTGCACCATATGTTTGTCCTATAAAAGGGGAAATTTTAGGATGTCTCTCAGGTTGACGTTTTGAAGTTGGTTGAACTTTTGGATTTAGTTTAGCATTTTTGAGCTTTTTGAAGCCATTGGGTCACTGGCTGGAGCTTTTGACAACCTCCTCATCTTTAAAAAGTGAGAACTCCAAAATCCTTCCCACTTATTTGCCATCTTCTCCTCCTTGGTGGAGACTTCTAATGCCCATTTATTGTTTGTAGTGGTAGGGGGAGCCGGTGAAGCAGTTAGCTAAACTTTAAGATTTAGACATCTTGCAACCATCGTATATGTGAAAAGCTTTTCTCTCTCACAATTTTCCATTTTAGGAAAGACTTAGGTTATGTGTCAGAGGAGCTAGGCCAGGTTGAAGAATTATTTGGAGGGGAGGGCAACATAACATAAAACAAACGACGGCTTTATGAGAACGACAACGACATCAAATCTAACTGACAAGAATGAAGACCGTCGGTAGCAACGACAAAAGCGGCCAAACATCAGCAAAGGTAATTATTGTAGTAATGAAAAAATACAAGTATAGCTCATTTTGAAGAGGACAAGGCAAGGAATCAAATGGTTCAAACTTTTTCAAAAAAAAAAAAAAAAAAAAAGAGTTCTTTGGGGAGGTGCTTATAAGGTGGTTTAGAGTTGACTTTGGGCAAAAAAAAAAAAAAAGACTTGGGCTCATTTGTAAGATAAAAATACAAGGAATCTAGTGGTCAAAGTAGTTTTGGCTAATTCAAGCTCTTTAAAAAAACATAATTGGTCAAAGTGGGCCCTGCCCTATGAGAGAAAATAGTAAATTTTGAGCAAAAAAAAATTATTTGATTTTATTGATCCAAAATATGTATTTCTGAATTTATAACAACTTTTATTGAATTCTAGTGTTAATTTTAAGTCATTTTGAGGAAGTTATGATAAAATTATCATTTTATTTTTGAAATTATCATGTTTTTCTCTCCTGATTATTGGCAGCTCAAAAGGTACCCAAACGGGGTTAAGTTTAAGTGCGGATGAACTCATTTGAAATTTTCGATGATATAGCAGAGTTTATTTTTAAAAATAATGACTTGAAAAAAAAATTTATAGGACCAACTTTCATACATGGGAAGCCAAAGTGCATTATTTTATATAAAAAATAGATTCTGATGATCATCAAACTGGTTTGCATGATACTCATATTTGAATATGAAAATTCTCCAACTTACATAATATAATTTGAATCACTGGATTGACCTGTGGAAGAAAATGTTAATTTTAGGGTTTTCGAGGTACAATGTCTGCATTAAAACATTGAATTGAATAGTTTTACATAAAAATTATTTCAAAAGACCATTAAATTTGTTTGCATGGTATTCATAAGTGATAATAAGCCTCATGCAATTCTTTGAATAAGATTTTAAGGCTTACATAACCTCCGGGGAGAGAATAATAATCTCATGATTTCAAAGATTAAAGTTGTTTTTAGTGTATCTCTAATTTCAGTTAAAAATCATTAATTTTAAAGATTGTTTTAATTTCCTTTAATTTTCATTAAGTTAAAACTTTAATTTTCTTAAATCAGGATTTGCTCAAGGCCAAGTTCAAGTGAAGCTAATTAAGCTTAAGCCAAGAAAAACAGGGTTGACCAAAAATGAGGTCAGCAATCCATTAGGTCAAGTTGGATAAAGTGGATAACTTGACTAATATAATGTTAATTCCACTTAATTTTATGTTTCATTATGCTAAATTTAGTGTAAGAATTGATTATATTATAATTTATTTAAATTGTTTCAATTTTTGTAAAATTGTAATTCAGTCTATATTAGTCAAATGGGCAAAGTGGACCCGTTAGCCCAATCTAAACCTAATTGGATATAAATTTAGTTTAATTGAATTAAGTTTAGTTAAAATTACTATTTTATTTGATTTCATTTAGTTTAGTTTTAAATTAGACTGTTTTATTTTAATTTAGCCTATATGATTCAAGTACTCTTAGGAGTCCTACCAGCCCGATTAGGCCTTAGGTTTTGGTATAAACTTCAATTAATTTAATTGGGTTCAAATTATATTTAAATTTTATTTACTTTTTATTTAGGTAGGATTTGGTTTATTTAAGGTGAGTTTGACCCAAAATCCTCGTGCTCATACTAAATGACCAGGGGCTCAATTTAAGTATAATTAGCCTAACTTTTAGGGTTGATAACTAAGTATTTAGCTAAATTCAATTTATTTTATTTGGTTAACTTGGTTTAGAAACCAAACAACTTATTGATTGAGTGTAATTAATTTAATAGTCTCATAGGGTCACTAAGGGTTAACGTAGTTTAATTGGGTCAATCATTTTATCCTTGCTCATGGTAAGTTAATAAATGCTGCATGGACTCATAGGATGGGTATTAAGGCTTTAGGTTGAGTTTTAAGTACTTTAGATTCACTAGCCCCCAAAAGTTTAATTTGTTTACTCTTTGGTTATTAATGACCTAATTGAAGTTGGTTCAACTTCGATCCGGTGAGTTGATGGCCAATCTTAAGTTTACTTGAAGCCAAAAAATGATTTTTATTTCCTTTAGGTTTAGTATTTGATTCAGTGTTCACCTGGTCATTAGAACAAATTGTTAATAGTCTTGTAAGGGAGCTTTTATGCTAATATGAGATTCTAGTTAAAGGCTAGAAATGAGATGTACTAAACTCATTAGAAACAAGTTCAACATAATAACATGGAAAAACCTATTCATATTTTGAGATCCAAATGTGGAGCAATCATGCCTTCAAAACCTCATGTATATTCTCAAAACTTATTAAAGTTTTTGGAGCTTATCGCAAATTTTTGCTCCTTATTTATGTTATGGTATTATAAGATTTAATAGTTTGGATGTTATACTTAATTTCATTATTTAAGTCCTTTAGATTCTATATATAGTGGGGATCCATCATCCCTCCTTTAAGTTAGACCATGTGAGTTAAAGTAAAGGTTGGTTCTTAAGAAAAGAATCTTAATACTTCATAAATAAGGAAATTGCTTATCCAAGTAATAGAAGGCTCTTGAACTATGAATCATGTCCAAAATAATTATTAGAAAATGGATGATAAAATTTCTTATTAAAATTTGAGATATCTATTGTCAGCATTGCAGGTCCGCATGATGAAGGAAAAAATTAACACGGAGGATGTTTAATATAACAAGCATGTGCTCAAATGCATGAAGATCTTAGATTAATCTAGGTTATGGGAGAAGCTCCTCTAAGGTGAGATGCAATTTGTCCTAAATGATGAAGCAATGAGCTTGCAAAATACGATGGCACCCTTTGAAATTGGTGCATAACATGCAAAAACAGATGGAGGAGCACATGGTGGAGCTTTACATAATAAAGGAGCATGGGTAAGGTGATCACTATATAACTTAGTTTGTGATTTACATCCCTAATAATTAAATGTTAAAGACCTAAGGTTGGCTAATGATATAGACTATGTTCCATGGATATAAGATAATAATTTTGTGCAATAGTTATCATGGATGGCATGTTATAAATTGGCAACACATTTATGTATCTTACTAACATTGGATTATTATGGTGATGACATAAGATTGAAGCCTGTTAGAAGAACACCATCACAATATATGATGGTTTTTAATAGAATTATGGCAACAAGTTCACTCAAAGTGTGCGAAGGAAGAAGCTTGGATTGAATTTTATCGATTTGAGCATAAAAGTAAAGTATAAGAGTATACGAAGACATTTGTGAAATTATTGCTTAAAATATCATGTTGCAGAAAAATGAAGCATTATTTCTTTTTATGAATAGGCTCAAAATTTATGTTAAGCTAGAGTTAGAGTGCAAGAATAAGTGGACAAAAGTGATGGTTAAAAATTAATTGAGTTTGCTTTGAAGGAAAAAAAATAATTCTATACCCAAAAATAAGTGAGGAGACAAGAGAGAATGCCTATGAGATTGACTATCTTTTTGATGCAATGGGCCTTGTAGGGCACATAGTGTCCAACTTAGAAAAGGATTGCAACACTCAGTAAATTCAATGTAAATGAATAAGAAGAGACGCTATTGAGTTTATTGTGGAACATTAACATGATAAATACAAGAAGAATAAGTATAAATCATTAATTTCACGAATTTGGAAATCACAAGCTTAAAGATAAGCACACTAGTTGATATTAGTGCATCTATTATTTTAGTTTTCATGGAGTTCAAAAATAAGTTGATCATCAATATATGAAAAGATTTATGTGGTTCGAGAAAGTAATCTCTATGGGCTAGATGATCGATCTAGTCTAATACATGACGTTAAACATTGTTCCAAGAAAATGCAAAGAGTTCGTCAACATATTTTCTTTTGATGACTATAAATTTATTTATGGATTATATTTCTTCAACATTATTGATGTATTGTTTAGATATTTTCTAATTTCATGCTTCTCAATGTCCACTTCCAATGTAGAATTTCAATGAAATGTACATTTATGACTGAGAAAAAATATATATAATTGAGGATGTGAGTGTTGAAGGGAATGAAAAAAGGACGAGTGAACTTTTTGGTGACCATGAAAAAGGTTGTGGAGCCATTTGGCATCAATATTTATGTCTCAATGAAGGTAAAGTATCCTTCATTCAATGATGCAATGATGTCCAAGTTGCCTATAAATTTGTCACTTTATAATGAATTTATTAACTAAATCAAGCTTATGTTGGATGCTAACCTTTCCCACAGAATCTTATCAAATTTCTCCCATTAGGTTGGAGGAGTTATGAAATCAACCTACATTCAAAGTTGACTTATTTAGTGAGTATGGTGGCACCAAATGATTCATTGAGCTAGATTTGTACTCGGGATATTAAGTATCATTAGCAAAACTGGATAAACTAAAGGTTGGATGTTTGACCTGTAACTAGGGATGTACATTATTTAGTTAAAACAAAAAAAAATCAAATCAAACCGACCTCATTTTGGTTGATTCAATTTGGTTTTAAAATAACAAATTGGTTTTCTATTTTAAATATTTTTATATTGATTTGTTTTCAGGTTTTAGTTATGTTTTAATATACATTAAATCAAAGAAACTGAAAAATCAAATAATATTAAAATTAGGAGGTGAAATTCAACTGGAAATAAAATAAATTGAGCATATGGCATATTTGTTATAGATTGATTTAGAGTTTATAATTTTAAAAAGGTTGTAAATAAATAAGAAAGAAAAACTAATTTTTTATTTTGAATTTCAGTTGGCTCCTAACCAAATCGATTAAACCAAATCATATTTTGATTCAGTTTGGATCATTTTTAGCAAAAATTTGGTCAATTTTATTTTTTAGATTTCAGATTTATGTTCATTTTTTTGACAAACTTGTGAACCGATTACACACCCCTAAAAATGATAAATCTTACTAATAATTATACTCATTTTAAAAAACAAGTACTAGGAATTGAGACTAATAATTTTTTTTTTTTATAACAAAATTTAAGAGTTTTATTCCTCTAAACTGAACTGATGGTTTTGTTCATATTTAATTTATTTTTTATTTAAATATTTTTAGCTAATTGTGTGAACTTTAAAAGAAAAATCACACAATTTACTCAAAATATTTAAATAAGAATGAACTCAAGATAAAAAAAAAAAAAAAAAAATTGGGGAAAAAATATAGTATCGCAGTTCTGAAGTCTTGAGTTTGCCATTTTAAAAATTTCATGGGGCATACAGATAGGACTATCCAAAGAGTTTGTTGTTCGCGATCAGTTCGTGTTCGGCTCGTTAAGCAGTTTGTGTTTGATTCGTTCGCTAAGCAAAAGTGTCGAACACGAACAAATTTTTTGTGTGATGAAATATAAACGAGCCGAAGATGAACAGTGGCATTTTTTAACGAACAAGAGTTCAACGCAGACTTACTCATGTTCGGTTCATTTACGCCCCTACATGATAACTGCCAAAAAAAATAAAAAAAACAAAGTATAATCACAAGCTAGACATCCCAAACGCAAATAGCAAAAAATCTACACTAAGACTTTTGTGCTTCCTCTCTAGGAAGGATATCATGGATGGAAAGGCAGATTTGTAAAATTCCATTCTATTGCTTCATCCACAAATACGTTAATTAATTAGGATATCTTCGCATTTTCTGCCATGAATGCCTGGTATTTCGCACGCTCTCTCCTATACCTTCCTACTTCTCTCACAACTGCCAGGATCAGATGCAACGACACAGGCGCAAAAAATGGCTACAAAACACAAGAAGAAAGCATTATTTACACTTGGATGAATTATGCTGGCAGCTAAATACTCATAAAAAAAATGTTATGTAGCTTATAATCCCTAAATTATGCAGCTAGCTACAAGTAGATAGCAAATTTAAAAAAATATATAAAAAAAATTAATTTTAAAACGGAGTACTTGCCATGTATATAGCAAAATAATGCTCGAGGGAAGAATAGCTGATTGACATGATGGATGGATGGAAGAATGCATCCTCAGCTAACGATCTCGCTTGCAGAGAAGATGCTAAAACGAAATGTGGATTGAACGGATCAGTAAAAACATCATCTTGTAACTACTTTATAATGCAACGAAACATCTGTTGCCATAGTTACCAGCTGAAGCATCATACATCCCAAGAGAGGCATTATTTAGAGCTAGGCTTGCAGCTTCAAGAGAATACTTCACCTGAAATAAACAAATTACATGAAGCTAATAGACGAAATATCTTCCAATTGAACAAAGTATTAATGAGATAAATTTACTGGATTTGTAAATGTTTGAGTGAGAAAAAGGAGAGCATAGCAATTTCCAGATGCCTGAACAACTATCAGACAGAATAAGCAAATTACATAAAAATGTTAGAAAATCCTGTTCATAGACTGCCTCAACGAAGTCAAAAATGATTGTCCAGAAAATTAAAGTCGGTGCATTTTCAAAGTCATCATTAAATTGATAACAAAATAAAATTGAACAATTACACATTTTGCTCTAATGCCAAAAAAAGAAAAAAAAGAAAAAAAAAACTCGGCTAGTAAAATTCTGTAATTTTTTCGCATTTTCCTAAGATCCTTATTACAGCCATTAATTCACTCGTATTAGTACATGGGAGCTTTTTATCCAACAACGCCTCTTAAAGCACTTGGATCATTCTTCAACTAAATAATTATTCAGTTTAATCGGCAACACAACACACTAAAAAAATGCCAAATAGAGCCTAAAACTTATCCACCCGAAGGGGAAAACAACTTCACCTTTCAAGGTTCTGAATCTTTGGCAATGGCAGAATGGTTCAGCGAGTCTACAAAGTGATACATAAGAAGAAGAACGAGGGGTTCCCTCATGTAAACATTAAAATTTCATGAAATATATGAAAAAAATTTTAAAATGGAAGATCATGGTTGACTAAAACTACTTAACCCACTATATCACACATTATCCTACCCTAAAGAGAAACATATTTCACTTGGTTGTTTGGCTGATCCTCGTAATATGACTTGATGGTTTGGTGGGCTCACTCAGAGCTATTGTGTTAACTGAAAAATGAGGAACTGGGTGTGCACATTTCACGCACATACCATCTGGAGGATTTGGCAACAAATTTCAATGGTACCATAAAGCTTCAACAATATTTCCCAAAAACCCTAAAAGAACAAACTAAACTTGGCTCTAAAACCTAGTAAGGCCTCACATACATATTCCATCAGCTTGAGGATAAAATGCCATCCTGCTGAGATTGCAGTAGTCCAGGCTTCGCTCTAAATCCTCTGGCAAAGGCCTCATAAATAAATTCAGTTAGTCTAAGGTATCTATGTTACTTAAATTCCCAGAGTCAAGTCTAGGTTTGACCAAAGAATCTCTGCTAATGCCTGCAACGTGAAACTTTAGGCTAAGCCTTGGACTTAAAAAAATAATAAGATTGGGGTTCCGTTCCACCAAAATACTACAGAAATTAGGGCCAGCGGACTTATATCATCATGTTTAGCTCTAATGAATTCCTGCAAGTCACAGGCAAAAGCTCCATTTTGTCATAAATCTCAGAGCAGGCCTATGCAAAGCTCTTAAACCTTTGTTTGAGACAATTGTTACATATCAGAAATTGTTCAAGGCCTCATATATATATAAAAAAAGAGTTTAAGACCTCAAGCATAATAGTCAGACCAATAACCTAATTCAATCCACATCGTGGAACCAAAGTTTTATGTTTTCAAAATCTTCAGCAAATCTATTACATCTAAGACTTGATAAATAGAAGTAGAATCTATTTTAAATAAGGAGGGCAAAATTAACCTCAGCTGGGTGCATTACAATGAATAGAAGAACCACAAAGAAGACAAAGCTAAAATAAATGTCAAAGCGCTACAAAGAAAAAAGAAGTATAATTGAAGGAAACATTAATAAAATATGAAAATTGTTTATACATAAACAAGATTTAGCACCTCAAGTAAACATATAACAAGATTGAATGGAGAAAAAGGATTCAGAAATCTGAATGATGATAGTTGGGGGAAGACCAAAATGATGATAATGAAATTATGGAGTGTACAAAATGAAAAAGATGCAAACTAATCTAATAACAAAAGTTAATTGCAATTCCAAGAACTTTACAAAACTCGGTTAATATGAAAACTCTTACTAGAAAAATGAATTCATCATGCTCAAATATAAACAATTATGAAACAGACCTGCTTTCTTATTTCATCCATAATAATCATTCTGGGAAGTGACTGAACCTGTACATTTCATATTTAGAAGTAATATTACGAGGCACACACAAAAATTAACATTGGTTTTAAAATAATAAAGAAAGCTGAAAGCATACCAATTTTGAGAGAGACTCAAGAGTAGTGGCACAAGATATAAGATTGTAACAAGCATGATGACGATACAGGGCGTCCAACTCCCTGTAATGTAAATAGTTAAATAGCACAAAATTAGCTTTCTCAACTCAACACTTCTCTAAGCAAAAAGCTAAACAGCAGCAAAACAAAATTGAATAGACCATGTGAAATGTATCACATTTCCAATTAGTTTTTAAATTTTAGCACTCATAATAATGTTAGATATTAATCCACATATACTTCCAAACTCTGAAGTTCCACTCATTGCTCTTTAATATAAATTAACAGTCAAACTTTATTATCATTCCCAGAGGAACCCTACCATTTATTAGTATAGTAAAATAGTCTAAATTCTTACCCTTTCATCATAAAGCAGCCCTAATTTACATAATCTGAACACCAATCTCATCTTCTGAATTTCAATCTATCGAGTCATGATAGAGGCCCTGAGAACTTCCAAAATTTACCAAATTGTACAGTTGATCAGTTTCCTCTTTATCCATTTATCCATTTTCATCAATTTTTCCACAAACACCACTATATGTTAAGCCTTGACATCCTGTTACATATTTACTCCATACAACAATGTACAGAGTGGGTACATAAAATAAGATAAACTCCACTTGACTTAAACAAGGTTTAGAAAATCAGTCAACCCATGAAACATGCAGATTAACAGGCAAGGGAATTGAACTTTGGCGATATTTAACCACAAAATTGAAAACTAAGATAAACATATAATAGCATTTACAAGTTCATGAATTTTACTTCATAAATATGCATAATATTGATCAGATGGTAACATAAACAGTTTGATAAACTAAAATAAATTAGTAATAAAATACCATATCTCGTTAAAAGTTACCCAATTTTTATGGAACAGTCATAAATTATTAAAACTATCACAATCAAACCCTTTGCATAAGCATATGGCTTCAATCATCAGAGCAAAAGGAACTTCATCTGATATACGCCTTTCACAAGCCAAGCAGCGAAGGTGCTCATAATGCTTTCAATGAAATAAAATCACATATTATAGATCTCAACCCCAATAGATTATCAATTTTTTTCCTTACCATCAAATTTACCAATGTCAATCAGATCTTGGTAATCATTTGAACTTTTCCTTCTTTTTCTTAACAAACATAGGCGTGTACTCTGACAGTTGGGTATCATAAATAAAGAGACAGAAATCAGCTCTCAAATGTTGCAATTGATTTAATTATACAATATAAGAGTAACTGAGGGTCGGTGCAGAACAAATTACCCTAATTTAAAAAAAAAATTAAACACAAGAATACATAAATTTATTCAAGCTCTTTCCAAATAATTTCCACTATAGAAAACTTATAAGTATGACCAACTAAAGCATTGGGCTGAATAGGCTACAACGTTTTAACATCAATGAGTGTACATGTAAAGATAGAAAGGAATGAAGTAGCTACTGCTAACTACTAGTTTCCAGGAGACTGGTATAAATATGATAGACTAGGGGGATCAAACCATAGAAAACTTATTTATAAGGATATATGAAGCAATACAGAAAAATTCCATGTTTCCTGAGCACTTCTGATAAGTCATACTTTTGAAAGGTGTAGGACCCGTAGCTACTGTCCACCCCTTGGCTTGAGCCCCACACAGTGGATCTTCATCCAATCAAATGCCGAGAACACATGTAAAGATCTTTGGCCTTGAATTAACGCCCTCTCGAGCCCTTGGATTGCTTTCCCAGGGATCCCTACGGCCACTGGCCCTATATAGCGGGATCAATCCCTACCTATTTTATGCATTGAGGAATTTATTTTGATTTTTTTTTTCTTTTTGAACGGACAGTAAAAAAGTTTATGTAACCCACATACTTTGTTCAAATTAGAAGCAATAAAAATACTTTAGCAGTTTTTAAATTAAAAGCAATAGAAACACTTTTTTAAGTTTTTTTTTTTTTCGTATCTTCTCTACTTTCTATTTTTCTGAAATAATGATTCCACATATGATGGTTATTTTATTTGAGAGAAATTTATAGAACTTAATAGTTTCTGCACAAAAGATATTCAAAAAAATGTAATCTAAATATAGAACAAATCCATGGACTAAATGGACAGCACCGTACAACTCAAAACTGCCCCAAAGAACTGCCACAACAGTGTTTCACTTAAACAGCATATTTGCCCACTCTCAACCAAAATAAAACGAACTTACCATTCTGTAAATCCTTTTTCACTTGGTAAAATGTTAATCATGTCCATATCATCATCTCGAATGTAATCAGATTTAAAACCAAACAGAAGGCGAAGCTGCCCAACAATAACTTGAAAGATCTTCTGAAGATCCTGATTTTAAAAAAACAACAATTAGAATATAAAAATCCGTTAGCAATATAAAAGCTATTTGCAAGAGTAGTGAACAACAACAACAACAACAAAGTCTTTATCCCACTAAGTGGGTTGGCTACATGAATCCTTTTTCTCCACTGCGACCCACTGAATGTCATATTTCATTTAATTCTAATAAATTAAGATCATTTTTTATACAATATGCCCAAATCTTTCTAGGTCTACCTCTGTCTTTCTTAACATAAGACGAATCTAACATCTACTCTCATAACCAGATCATCAGATGGTCGAAGTTAATGCGACCAAACCATCTAAGACGACTCAATCTAATTTTGTTGCCACGGGAGCTACACCAACCCTATCACAAATATATTCATTTTGCATTTTGTCTCTAAGTGTAAAGCCACTCATCCACCTAAGCATTCTCATTTCGACAACACTTAACTTTATTTTATGCTTCTCTTTTAATGGCCACCTTTCTGCGCCATAGAGCATTGCAAGTCTAACCACCATCTTATAAAATTTTCCTATTAGTCCAAGCAATACTTTTTTATCACACAATAGACCTGATACTATGCAATCTCGCCACCAACTTAATTTCTATATAACTTGCACTCTTGTGCATACCCTTTATCCTTAAAAGTGGGACCAAAATATTCTTTCTCCACTCCTCAGGCATCTTTTTTAATTTTAAAATAATATTAAAGAGTTTAGTAAGCCAACAAACTCTCAAATCTCTTAAATATTTCCACACTTAATTGAGATATCATCGGTTCTACAGACTTTCCCAAACTCTCAAATCTCTTAAATATTTCCAAACTTAATTGAGATATCATCGGTTCTACAGACTTTCCACCCCTAATTTTCTTTAAAACCTCATCAACTTTTTTTTACTAATATGACAGTAAAAAGAAAATATTTTATTATTATTAATGATATTAAGATTAGTAAAGTTGATCGTATTTTCAGAAACCTCATTAAAAAGTTTATCAAAATATAACTCGCCCACCTATGCTGAATATTTTTTTCTAAGAAAAGCACATTTTTATTTTCATCTTTAATACATTTTACTTAAGTCTTTACTTTACTTTTCTCTTTATTTGGCTAGTTTATATATATATTTATCATCCTCTTTAGTATCTAATATATTATAAAAATCATTAAAAGTAAAATTTTTAGCGTCACAGATTGTTCTCTTAAACACTTTATGTGTCATCTTATATTTTTTTTATCCCTATGAGTCATTTTAAATTCTTCTCAGTTCTCTAAGATTTTACATTTAAACCAATTTTTATAATATAACTTCTTATATTTTATCTTCTCTTGCACATTTTATTCCACCACCAACTATTTTTATTTATAAAAATTCATCCTTCTGATCCTTCAAGTATATCTTTTGTCACTTGTTTAATAATGTTTGTTACTTTATCCCACACGGAGTTTGCTTCTTCATGAACATCCCAAATCTCGATATCTTAAAGTTTACTCATAAAAATAATTTTATTTATCTTTTAGGTGTCCTCATCTATCCTCTAATTCTATAACAATGGCTACTAGTATTTTTTTATTTTATAACTCTTCATCTTAAAATCCATAACTAATAATTGATGTTGGGTATTTAAATTCTTACTTGAAATGACCTTACAATCTTTACATTCTCGGCGATCTCTTCTTCTCATAGAAAAATAATCAATCTATGTTTAATTAGATCCATTCTTATAAGCAATAATATGTTCATCTCTTCTCTTAAATAAATTATTAGCAATAACAAAAGCATATGCTAAAGCAAAAACTAATATGGTTCTACCTTCTTCATTAATCACTCCAAAACTGTAGCCACCATGAATATTTCAAAAATCCTCTATCACTCTACCGACATGTCCATTTAAATCTCTTCCATTAAAAATTCTTTCTTGAAAAGATATCCTTTGTATTAATTCTTCTACATCATTCCATTTTTTTTCTTTAGAACCTATATCTAAACCTACTTGTGGAGCATAAGCACTTATAATATTAAAAATCTTAGTATCAATGATAATCTTAAGGGCTATAACTTTATCTACAATTTTATTAATTTTTACGACATTATCTTTCAAATTCTTATCTATAATTACACCTACACTATTTTTAGTGAGACTCTTACCAGAATACCAAAGTTTCACTTGAATATCAAAGTTTAAAACCTGAACTATCAATCTCCTTTGTCTTTTCTCCAACTAATTAGTTTCTTGAATACATAAGATATTTATGTTTCTATGAATCTTAATGTCAACTAATTATATTAATTTACCTGTAAGAGTACTTATATTCCAAGATCATATCCTAATATTAATTAAATAGACTAATTTTTTTACCCGCATCTGAACGTAATGTGAAAACTTTTGCTTATTTGACACTACAACCGTGCATCAGTGCAGCGGCCCTTGCACAATTTTCATTATATTCAGCTCATACAGTGTGTCGCTTCCAGGGGACGTCTTAATATTTACACAATGATTAGAATGATTCATATCATAATTTTTCAACAAATTTTACGTTGGTTGTCGACTTACCTAATACAATCCTCTGCTTTTCACATCCGGAGCTCAAAACCCGACAATAGCAATGTTTAGCAAGAGTAGTGAACATAATATAAAATTTACATGTTCAAAATTAACTTTCTACCTAATACAACCCTCTGCTTTTCACATCTGGAGCTCAAAACCCGACAATAGAAATGTTTAGCAAGAGTAGTGAACATAATATAAAATTTACATGTTCAAAATTAACTTTCATTCTTCATTATGTAGGCATTAAAAAACCGATATCAGTTCAAGATTTACAAGGGTGGCACAGACAGCCTACAATGTTGTTAATAAAAACTCTCTCAACTCAAATGAAATGACAAACTGTTGTAGCTCTAGTCCATCAATTAAATAATACCAACAAGAAAGAGAAATCATAGAAACAAACTTAAATTCATAAAAGAGATCCAGAGGCTTGCAATCAATCGAGCAATTTATGATTACCAAAATTCCTATGATCAAGGAATAAGACAAATATTATACGAGAATAATTTGCATCTTAAACCTAATTAACCTGCATGATCTCTGATAAACCACTTTCCTTTAACAAATTGTTTCCCAATTGTCAAAAACTTTCAAATTTTCGAAGAGGCATATGTTCATATAATGGTTTAGGAACCCTAATAAATTTCAGCATAAGTTACTTACCTCGCAAAATCACCTGCCCATTTTGCAAAGGAAAAAATATACAGATCACCAAGGTTAGAAAGGATTCTGAAGACCATAATTTTGCACACCTTAAATTTCTCAGTAATATTTGTTCTCCTTAATATATGCTACTACAAAGTTAAATTATCACATGATAGATAAACTTCTACAAATAGTTGCATAACTTGCGTCGGTTTTTTTAGCCAAAACAGGAATGATGTGCCCAAACAAAGTCATTTATGATAAAATTTTCACTGAAAAGTGTTAAATTATCATTCACAACTCATAAAAAAGATTAGGTGTGCCTAGGAATAGCTTATAAGATGCATGAGAATATTCCAGATCAAGCTCACATTTTTTGACAGAAAACTTGAGTAAACTTCTGATATGAATTATATGTTTGCCATATCTTATATCATTTGACTTATAGTCGTCTTTTATGTTAATTGACATCGGTGTCGGTCAACTTTTCGATTTCGATAGATTATGAAAATATGAATATGAAAATAATTTTTGAAATATAATTTAATATAATAGACATATATTTTTAATTTTGAAAATAGTATGTTTTAATTTTGAAAAAAAAAATGAGACCAAATGGATAGTTTTGAAAGTAATATGTTTTAATTTTGAAAAAAAAATGAGACCGAATTTTTGTTAGTTATTTACATAATCGTGTCTGACACCCTGAATACTACACATTCCAAGAGAAAAGTGTAGACCCCGATAATAGGCCCAATCCTGCAAACTAAGAGATTTGTGACATTCAGTTGGTCTGCAAACCTTTTATATATGACCGACAAATTCCCCTATTTAATACAAGGATTAAATAGGGTTTATTTTACCTGGGTTCCAAATTCCCTATAGAGGCAAGCCCCTATAGTTAATTAAATCCCAAGTGACGTGAATCACTTGAGAAAACTCTCGATAATGATCAGTGGTTCTAGTCTTCAAGAATTCAAAGTTTAGGTTTTCAATGTAGGACATGGAAAAAATAAGTGAGAATGGCTCAAGTAAGAACAATCCTTTCATGAGTCCAAAGGAAGTAAAAGGTAGGGGATGTCACAGATCCAGAGGGGAATCATCAGTGACCTCCCAAACTATCCTACTGTGTGGCTGTGTTTTAGAGAGGATTTTATTTGAATGTTAAATCCTGTCAATTTTATTAGTTGGGACTTATACCTGCATAATAACTGGTTATGCAAATAGCCCACAAATATAAGAGGTTTTACGTCATTCTAGATGACAACCTTAGAACCTAAGGCGAATTAGTGCAGGGGCCTAAAAGAGAGGAATTATGTCGCGCTAGGCAAGCTACCTCGAAATCCTATGAGTTGTTTAAATTAGGAAAGTTCAATTGGTGTAGACTCATTTTGTTGTTGTAGAATTGCGACCACCTCCACCTGTAGTTCGCTCCAAACTCCTTGCCGTGCTGCCCACGAAGTTGTTCCGAGCTCCTCGTCGCAGTAACAGTCCTAAAGTCTAAAGCTCAAACAATTTTACCAGGTGTGTTTCAATGTCTCAGTTTGGTTGTTAATGGAGGGGTTCAAGTTGATTAGAGCGACACCGGTTAGGATCCCACGGTTCTCTCCTTCCGGCATCACTATTTTCTTTTGAACTTAGTTTAAACGAGTTGTGAAACCCATTTAAACCAGGGAGATCTCATTAGCAACCGTTGGTTACTTCCTCCGAGGGACTCCCGTAAGTTCGAAAGAACGTGTTATGTTTTGTTTTCTTTTTGTTTTGAAAATGTTGTTTAATTTTGAAAAAAAAAAGGTTTTGTTT